CCCCAAAACCCCAAAACCCCAAAACCCCACTGAGAAAGAATTGAATAAAGTAAGAATTAAAATTATTTTGAAATATAAAATTAAAAGAAATTATATGAAATAAATGCAAACTTCGAATACAGATAGTTCCTAAGAAGTTTTACCCCCTTTAGATATTCCGCCTAAAAGATCTCGCTCGCAAACTCTTTTGAATCTCCTCAACGACAAGAATGACATAGGAATATTGCTTCGAAAGGGAGGGGCTGACATGAGACCTATAAATATAAACGAGTTTTTTGGATTCAACCTTGAAACAAGGATTCGGCAGCTAGTCTCAGACTGTGTAGAGCCTTTGAAGCTGCATCATGAACAGACAATAAACAGAGTCAAAGTCACTGAAGACAGAATTAAGAAAAATGCACAGTAAATTAACGAAGTCGGTTTTATAATGCAAAAGACTCTGCAGAGATCATCTTCATTGGAAGAGGTGCACCAATAAATACTATTAATGGAGAATGAGAGAAAAGTTAGCGAAAGTAGTATAATAGCTGAGGTCAATCAAATCAGATAGTTACTGAGAGAAACTCATGAAAAAGTTATTTCTATTGAGGAGGTAATTCGATCGGATAGAAGACTCCATGAGATGCTAAAAACAGATATGAATCATATGAGGAACGATATCAACACATTCAAAGACAAGACTTCAGATGACTACAACAAATTTAGGCTAGACTTTTAGAATAAGCAGGATAGGTTCTACTCTGAAGTTAGTAAAGTTACAGAATAACTTTAAATCATTGGAATAAAATCAAAGAATCAAGCTGAAGCATTAACAAAGCATGAGACAATTATTGAAACCTATCGCAACAATTTCCAGGAACTTTATGATACAGTGAATGATCTAAATGAGAAAAAAATGAGTAAGAATACATACGAGGCGGAACTAACACAAATTAGAAGAGATTTGATTAACTTAAAGTTTAAGAATGAAGACACTTATCAAAGTCTGTAAATGACTGATAGCTATATTGATAGGTATTTGAGAGTAGATATCCTTAATGAGATATTTGAGGTCATATTCTTGACTTCAAGTGACTCTGAACAAATGGAGAAAATGGTTGAAATTGCGAAAACTAAGTACGAGGCTATTTTCAAAAAGATAAAGGATGCTGAACAAGCAATGAAACAACAAAATGCATCACCTGAGAGGAAGGGTCAGCCAAAACTGCTTAGTGTTGTTAATAAAATCAAATAAGCCTAGAGTATTGGACAACCTGTATTTATTGAAAGTTTCAATAAAGTGGCTTACAAAGTGCCAACATTTGAAAGGTCAGACTCAAAAGATGGCGAACCTATCTTAACGATGAAGTATGATCGATTTAATGGAATGAAGTATAATGATGATACAATTTCTAGGTCTTTAACAGACCTAGATAGCTTTAGGAGGAAAATTATTTAGGCTTAAAGAGCATATGCTTCTATGGCTTCTCCTTTCAAGAAGCAAGCATCAAGAATTTCTGGCACTTCCAATTAAGGATTAATTAAGACACTAGATAATTAAGACAGCATTGAGGAGTAATATGAAGATGTAGACGATGAAGACTAATCAGAAAACTGGAAAACAGATTAGAGATCAGATACCAGATCAATGGGTAGTATAATGATGTTTAATCCTGATATTATCACCTCTCCTAGAGCAGCGATGAGAAACAGAAAGCTTATTAAACGACCCACTGTGAAAAAGATTATTGTAAATACATAATCATCAGCGAACTCTAAAACAATCAATGAGCTCAAGGAGCAAACTTAAATCATCAGCAATGAGCTAGTTAAGAATGAAGGCAAACACAAACACCACTAAGAAAAAATTTCAGTTCTTGAAGATCTAGATGACGAACTAAAAGAAATAGTGATAGAATCACAGGAATAAATCAGTTAATTATTTGAGAAGATCAGGGCTCTCGAGCAATAAACAAACGATCTATAAGAGCAGACATCAAAAGAAGATACAAGAATACTTTAAATTACAGAAGATTCTATTAAACTATAACAAACACAAGTTGAAAACATGCAGAAGGATTTGGAAGAGGATCTCCGAAGAAGAATTAGAGAAAAGAGCAACATCGATTTAGCTATGAAAAAATTTGAATATGACATTAGTAATTTAATAGAAAAGGAAAAAAAGGGTGAAGAAGTTATAGGAATGATGATGGAAACCATAAGAATGATCTTTTAAAATTCTAGAATATTAACTTCTCTCATCAAACAAGATGAAATAGATAAGCAATCAATTCAACTGCTAGGGATGAAAATGAATCCAGACAGTAATTAGAATATAAACAGATAAAAATCTAAAAAGTCTGTTCCAAACGTAAACAGTTAAATAACAGGTATTTCAATTGACAATTCAGATGAGCTTTATGGTGGAATGTCATAGTAGTCAGCTCTAAATCTACCATCCAAGTCAGTGATTTCAATTGACAAGAATTGCTTTTCTTGCAGTGGGTAATAAAATGTAGTAATGAATGCATTTAAAATGGCATGTCTTTAGTATCAGCCTTAAAGAGTTCTACTGGGAAGTGAATCATTTGAAAGATTTGATTTGATAGAGCAAAGTGTTAGGAATCTTGAAAAAATGAATTTCTCACCGTTTATGCAATCTATCAATCAGATCTCATTTGCCAATCAGAATAACACTTATATGCCTCTTTTAAAGGATAATCTTCTCAATTTTAGTAATCAGAACATCAAGGAGCAAGATTCAGTTTAGATAGTTAAGCTTGATAAATGGACGACTTAAACAGACGAGGATCATTTTCATTAAAATTTGAACAGAAGCAAGTCTTCTACTCCTCAGAACAATATACAAGTAATTTAGCGAAGTTCTAATGAATTGCCAAATCTTCCTCCCAACTTGCAAAAAATTAAACAAAATATGAACGAACATATAAGCAATAGGAATCTACCTGAATTAAAGAAAGTAAATGAAAGCTATAATAAATCTTTATTTAAGAGTTTAGCCTAGCCGAAAACTGCTAGATAACTTTCTAGAAATCTAGTCTTACCAAGCTTTACAAATCTTCATAGAGATGGCATTGCTACAGTTTCAGGTGAAGGTTCATAGACAAGATCAACAAATCTGCTTTAGTAATATAATAACTATTCATCAATGACTCAATAAAAGAAAAAAAGAAGAGATTAAACTTATAATACCTCAGTCAAACTTGGAAACGAAACTAAATCATCTAGCATCAAAACTCCTCCACCAAATAACAGAAACTTGCAATCAGCAGACACAAATGCCTTCAACTCGAATAACATGTAGCAAGTCCCCATAATGCAAAATGTAATAATGCAAAAAGCTCTTCAAAGATAAAAATAGGTGAAGATCCCTGAAATTATTGCAAGTTCCACTCCTATATCTCTTCACAGACCAGACTCAAATTAGATTAATTAATGAAATTAGATTATGATTACTCACTAACTGAAAGACAAAACTGATATGATTGAAATTTTAAAGTGAAAGAATGATGACCTTATTCTTAATTCATTCTCTAAAACTATCTTAATTTCATAACTTTATTCAGAAAAAGCAACCACATTAAGTTTTTTTCTTTTTAACCTGTGTGATTATTTTACCTGTCAAGACATTGGTCACCCAAGTATATATTTCTTAGCAATTAAGTCCCTTTAACGCTGAGGCGTATATAACATTAAGATTGGGGTACTATTCAAGTAGCTCATCAAGATTGAAAAATCCCTCTATAAATTGTTTATCAGTGATTTCATTGTGTCTGTCTTATTTATTGAAGATTATTAATAGATTCTTTTCAGTAACATCACTCATTACATTTAAAATCAATTCGAATTCCATCATCGAAGATGCCATTTGGGATTAATTTTACAAATCTACCATAAACTATGAATATTCTACATAAATATAACTTACTATGATCGATTAAGCATCTAATATAAATTTATGCCAATTAGACACCATACTAGATCCTACTTCATTAATGAAATAATCCTTTCCTTAAATTCTAATTGTATTAGTATCAAATCCTGTCTAGAATTAATAGTTTTATAGATCAATCAAGCTTACGGTAGGATTAGTTTCAAAGCCAAGTTTATCTTTATCATTCTCAGATATCACTAACAAAATAAAGAAGATAAACATACTTTTAAGTCTTTTAATAAGCAAAGATTTCCCTACACTCTCAAGGCCAAGCACTAGAATGTGAGTTTTACGTTTATGATCACTTTACATTTTAAATTTATAATTTAAATTAAAACCAATCGATTAAAATATTATGAGCTCACCATAACAAATGCTCCATAGAGAGCAACCATAACCTGAACAAGTACCTTAAGTTCAAGAAGAAAGAAAGTTTTGTAAGTTAATTACTTAATTCATAATTTCAACTAGCAAATGGAGGTGGCGGTGGAGGAGCACCCAAAGTCTGGGGTTATTCATCAAGCAGTTCTAGTTCGATTACTTGCAGAAATGATCCTGAAAACCCTGGCCAATAAATTTGCAAAAAAATTACTAGATAAAATTACTTTGACCCAGTCACTGGCAAATAGGTAAATAAACTAATTAGGTAGTAATCATAATCTATTAGTAATTAAGAAACTCAGAGAGTGAGGAATATCGATAATCCGCAGGTGGATTTGGAGGATCACTGTTTAGTTCACTTTCATCGGGAGGTGGAGATTCAGGAAATTTCCATGGAAGAAATTTCGAGAACGAGTATAGACCTTCAGTAATAGAAAGATTGTAAGATAAGGCTTCTTAATCATAATTAGGAGAAACTTCTTGAATTTCAATAATGATCCTGATCCTGCCTATTAGCAGTACTAGCAGTAGTAAATACAGTAGTAGCAATACCCAAACTAATATTACCAAAGTGCATTTTATCCTCCATAGAATTAATAGAGTTCTTTTGGCTACAGCTCAAATGGCTAAGTGGGAGGTCCTAATGGTCATTACTATCCTCATAATGATCCAAATAGATTAATTACAAGCTAAATAAATCCATTCAGGTTGATTGAAGAAAGTGAACGTTAGATTAGATCACTATTAGGAGAGAGCTTTAGTAATTCTTTTCATGAAGATGTAAATTCTATGATTTAATATTATTATAGGAGTTCGATCACAATTTAGGAAGAGAGGATATATTCGATGAGTTAGAGAGAGAATTTTTGGGAAAATTCGCAGGAGCAGCTTATTAATCTAGAATGCCATTTGAAAATCATTAACAGAACTCTAGGTTTGATGTATTTGATGATCCCAGAAGTTTTGCTTAGAGCTAATAAAAAAATCATACAAGCAATGGATAATTTCCTAATTAATCTGGCAATTAAAGGCACAACAATTTCAATTAAAATTCTATGAGTTAAAAGTAATCCAACGAAAATCTTAATAATGATTTCAAGATAAATTAGACAGTAAATCCATTACAAGGAATCAAGTTTTCAGGGAAGATTTATGATGTATGATTGGTCAGCAATTTTTGTATAATTATTAAATTATCTAATCTTTAACTTTTCCCTATCACTAGAATGAAGACTTACGGGGTTTTGGGGTTTTGGGGTTTTGGGG